TAAACCTTAAGCTCTATGGAAGATATTTGGAAGAATAAAGGCAAAATGCTGGCAGATATAGTTCCTTTACATTAAATTCAAATGATTTGTTCACTTTATTCTAATATTAGAACATTCTTCATTGGGTGTTTTTGATTCGCTGAAGAATGTTTGGTGTGTGTGAATCCCAGACCTCTCAGGACACTTGCGCTGTACAGACTGATCTGTGTGTTGATTGGGATCATCTGATGGAGTCTGTCTGTCTCTGTGTCAGGCGTTAGAGTGGATCGAGGAGGCAGGAGAGGTGTATCTCGCCTCTCACACGTCCCCTGGAGACTCAGTGGAGAAAACTCAGGAGCTGCTCAAAGAATATGAAGAAGTCCGCGTCTCTGCCAAGGTATAGAGACACAAACCCTTCCCCTCACCTCTCCCTCCTGCATTTACTATTAGTCTCTAATGCGTGACACATACTGCCACATCAACCTTTCAAACAAGTCATTCTCTCTGAGGGACTTTTAAAAGATTGTCACTGCACGACATGACGCGTGTTGAGCATAAATGATCAAACCACACGCTCACACACATAATGTTCATGTGTGACGCAGCAAACTAAAGAGAAAGTGAAGATGTTGATCCAGCTGGCAGATAATTTTGTGGAGAAGGGCCACACGCACGTCACCGAGCTGAAGAAGTGGGTGACGGCAGTGGACAAGCGCTACAGAGATTTCTCCCTGCGCATGGGCAAATACCGCTGCAGTCTGGAGAACGCTCTGGGCATCAGCTCTGAGGTACTGCACATAACCAGCAATAATAATAATAACAATTCATTCATTCATTCATTCATTCATTCATTCATTCATTCGTTCATTCATTCATTCATTCGTTCGTTTGTTTGTTTTATTTGTAGCCCCTTAACCTGCACTGTATCGCTGATAGGAAATTGCTTGTTTTACATCAATTAATGAATCAATTAATTTTTTATAAACTATATACCTACTTTTATACCTAAACTGTATATCAGTACTTTATAGCAGAAGTAAAACTAAAAAGCATAAGGAAGCAAGTTTTTAGGCAAGAATTATTGTTATATTTTAGCATCTCTGTCTGTGATCAGATCATTTTAAGCTGCTAAACTCTGGGAAAGTTTTTATTTATTTTCAAAGATTTATTATAAAACGTTATTATTTTTTCCCCAAAATGCAATAAATCCATGACACTTTTTGTTTCTTCAAAATGCAATAAATCCATTGAATTAATATAAAAGTTATTTTTCATATCGAAACACACAACATATTAAGTTGATCCACATATGACAGCCTCTGAACTTGGTCAAAACTAATCTTATATACAGGCACTGGACTAAAAATACATTCAATCAGTCATAGCTCCCAAAATGAATTCAACGGGTCATCTTGTTAATGCTATAAATTAATTACAACAATAAAAGAAAAT